ACGACATCCGCCGCGTCGTCTGCGGCCGCGTCGTCGACGCTCGAATGGTCTAACAAACCGAAGCCGCTCATGTTGAGCGTAGTGACCTTCGAAGGAAAGGAAGGGGAGAATCTTCTCCTTTGGACCCGAGAGGTCGAGATGGCCATGGGATCGGCCCTGCTCCAGAGTGAGCAACAGCGCGTAGCGCTGGCGATCTCGAAGCTCGGTGGCCGAGCTAGAGAATGGGCACTAACGTGCGGTACGTCTGTGGACGCTGCGTTTCCCACTTGGGATCAGCTGAAACAGCAATTACTGCGCGTATTTGCGCCGCCTAATCAGGCGTACCGTATACGGTCGAAGTTCCTTGCTACCCGCCAGGGTAAAAAGGAGTTGTTGGACTATGTCCAGGAGTTGAGGACTCTCATCGCCGGGATGGCGTCGAGTCCTCTTCCGGAGGTGGTCGCGGTGACCGTGTTTATGGAAGGCCTACGCTCGGGCGCTGCCCGTAAGGAAGTTTTCCGTGTTCACCCTGCCTCGTTTGAAGAGGCTGTGAACGTGGCATTAAATGCCGAATACAACTTCAAGTCTGCGAGACCAAGTTGGAGCGCTGGTAGCGCGAACCCTTCGAACGGTCCTGAACCGATGGACCTCAGCCACGCTGAAGATGAGGCTGATCTCTGTGCTGCTGAGCAGCGCTTCAGCATCCGTCGATGCTATACGTGCGGAAGCACCCGCCACTTGAGGCCAAGTTGCCCGGTACGCAACAAGGCCCAGGCTCAACAGAGCCGAAGCACCGCTTCGAACTCCCACGAGGGTTCGTCGCGGGGAAACGACGGAACCCAGTAGGTGCGGGGCGCCCTACTGGGGAAGAACTGGGTTCTGTGGGTCCTCCGGGAGGTAGGAGGAAACGGGACTCAGCCCCGCAGAGAGCTAAGCTCTCTTACTCACGCAGTGCGTGCAAGCCCGGCTTGTTAGTCGTTCAAGCGAACGTGAAAGGCTTCGACAAGCCGTGGAGAGTCTTGATAGACTCGGGAGCATCTGGCAATTATGTCCGACGCTCCACTGTTGATGGGTATCAACCGTATGCGGAGGCTCTAAGGGAGCCTCGAAGAGATAAGATCTCTGTCCGTCTTGCGACGGGGACACTGGTGACAGTGTCGAAGGTCTCTATTGACCTGAACGTGAAGTTCTTGGACTTTGACAGCATGGAACGCTGCTTGGTCTTAGACCTGGATGAGAGGTATGACCTCATCCTTGGTATGGCGTGGCTCGAGAGCCACGAGCCATGGATCGACTGGAAGTCGAAGACGTTGGGCGCTACGCGCTCTCCTCCGAGCGGAGCATTGGCGAGTCATGAACCCACCTCTGCTAGGAGGCAGAAGCGCTATTGGCGCGAGCACGCGACCGAGTCGGTCATGGTGCTGGACATTGGTATGTCAGAGTTGGTGAGCAACGATGTTGCTGTTGACCGTGCGTGTAGCGCACAGGACGTGAGCGGGGTGGCGCGTTATCCACCAAGCGGTACTTGTGGGGTCACTGACCCGCCGCTGAGTGTCTCGAATGACACTGTTCCCTCTCAGAGGAGCCACAGAGAGTGGGCACCTAGGCAGGCCGACAAAGATGTCGCCCTGCGACCCTCATCCGGCCGTGCCCGGGGGAGGAGAGAGAGAAGGAAGAGACGCAGAGCGTCTGTGACGTCTATAACGTCGAACGAGGGGTCCAGCGTGTCGAGCAATGATGCTCCACGCGACTGCAGTGAGCAGTTGTACACACTCGTGAATGGAGTGACGGGAGATGTCGATGGGGACATACGTCTCGAGCGACTCCCATCGGTTGCCGCTCTGTTAGAGCTGGACGAGATGTCCGCCGAGGAGCTCGGCAACGCCTTGAAGGCTGGCGAGCTTGCCGAAGTGGTCATGATACGACCCGAGGAGGAGTTGAACTCCTCGTCCGTCGTGGACGAAGCTGTCCTTGAGGACACGAAGCGAGCGCTCAGCGCTAGGAGTGGATCATCAATCCTCAAGGATCCCACAGATCCGTTCCACTCCTTAATCAAGGAATACCACGACGTGGTGTCAAAGGATCCGCCGTCAGGGCTGCCTCCGGATCGGGGCGTTCGTCATGAAATTGACTTGGTTCCTGGAACCAAATACTGCGTAACACGGCAGTGGCCCTTACCAAGAGAACAATGTGACGTCATCGACGCGTTTTTCCGTGCTAAGCACGAAGCCGGCTTGGTGCGTGAGAGTAAGTCTCCGCACTCGACACCCACGTTCTGTGTCAGAAAGCCGAACGGCAAGTGGCGCATCGTGCATGCTTTCAATAAGCTGAATGCAGCCACTATTCCGGCGCAAACGCCGATTCCTCGTAAGGATGTTCTACAGAACAATATGGTGGGGTGTACGTTGTACAGTGCACTCGACTTGGTCGACGGGTATTATCAGTTGCTCATGAGAGCTAGTGATATACCTCTCACGGCGGTGAGTACTCCGAGCGGTATGCTCTGGGAGTGGTTGGTGATGCCCCAAGGGCTTTCGAACGCACCAGCGACGTTCAATCGTCTGGTGACGCAATTGTTCCG